GAGCTAATCTCATGCATTAATAAGGGCTAGCAATCATAGGTTAGGCTTGCCATGCTTTACTCAACTCAAATCCTTGGAATCTTCTCCAACCATCCAAAATGATCAATTCCAGCAAACTGTATCCCATCCTAACTCTACCTCAACTCCTCCATCTATAAATAAGGCCCCCACAACCATTGAAATGGTTGTGAAAGTCTTGAGAGCCCAAATTGAGAAGAGAGAGAGAAAGAGAGAGAAAGGCTAATTATTGTATAAAAATTCGATCCAATTATCAAAAGATCTTGGACCCTTTAAGGACATTTTAGAGGATTTCAATATCTCTCTAGCAAGCTCAAGATCATCCAAATTCATCTACAGGATTGTAAGATATCTTAACTTTTCTCTAAATTTTTAATTTAAAACTACAACAAATCTACAACACATGAAGTCTCCAAACTTCAGTTATTGGGAGATTATGTTTCTATAAAGCTGCATTTTAAACTTCATCCAATTTGGACACATATTTTGCAAGTTATCACAATTTGATAATTTGGGCTCTAGTAAGAGCAGAACCGTCCGATCGCAATAGATACGCGATTAGACGGATCAAAAAACATCATCCTGTGCTTCCAAACAATGTGCCATATAGCAGATTGAATACGTTCGATGCGTCTGAGGACACGTGGCATCCTCTGATACGATGCTTCCATTTTGAATTAAGAAAGAAATTGATTTGAAAATCAAATTATATAGCTAAAACTTCCAAAATTCATAGAAAATCCATTACTTTACTAATTTTTTTGTGGTTGGGTTCGTTGGAAAGGTTTTGAGTCCTAATTTTTATTAAAATTATAATTGAATTATTTTGATGATGGGATTATGAGTTATTTTAGATTGTGTAAAATTTAGTTTTAGCAATTTTCTCATAATCCTGTCATCAATTTGAGCCTAAATTTTGGTGATATATTTTTGAACATCTTAGGCATCACTTGTAAAATTCTTAGGATCACATGTTCAAAGGATTTATGTGATATAAATTTTCAAAGTAATAGGTCTATTTTGGACCCAAAATTTTAAAAATTCATGACTACAAATTTTTAGAATTATGTTGCATAATTACTGTGGTGTGCTTGCATATGTTTGAGGGTTTGATGACAAACATTTCAAATCTATTTGAATACTAGAGACACCATTAAGGATAATAATTAAGGACATGTTTAGAAAACTTAAAAAAAATTCTAGTAATTAGGATACATATCATTTTGACACAAAACTTTGAACATTTAAACTTAGTGACACATACAGCCCATAGAATTTTTCTCACTGGTTTTAAAATTCATTAAGTTCCTTAAATGATTTTTGTAAGCTTAAATACTTAATTAGGCATTAAACTTTCTAAAAATACTAATAAATTAAATTTAATTCCAAAAATTACATACAATACCTCAAACTGACCAGAATTTAATTTCCAATCTAAAAAGAATAAAACTCCTTTAAGTTGACATCAAATTTATGCTTTATTAAATTTTAATTAAAATTTAATATTTAATTAATTTCTTTGATTCAAAATTTTATAAAATTTTCAAACACTTGAGAATCTTTGCTTAGGTCATTCCTAGCCATTAGAGTTGATTTCAAATAGTTGGGAATTCATTTGGATTCAAATCATTAAAACACCCTTAATTAAGCAATTTTTGAAAATTCAATAAATACCTAAATTTCTAAAAATCATAACTAATTCTAAAAAAATCAAATTGATTAAATTCAAAGGCATTCAACTCAAAATAAAATCTAATATTTATAAAAAAAATGTCAAATCTTCAAAAATTAGTCGAAGCCAAAAAGTCAATAGCTTGGTCAAACTTAAGTCAAAATTTAGATCCAAACTTCAAAAATTATAACTTTTCATAAAAAAACTTTAAATTAAGAAAACTAAAACTCTAATTGCTCATCATAAGGTTTAATATTTATAAAAAATCTGAAACCTTCAAAATTAACTTTAATTTAAAAAATCAACTTTTGACATTGAGTTAACACATTAAAATAATTCCAATAATTCTTAAAAATCCAATAATTAATGAAAATTACATAAAACTTCAATTTGTTTAATATAATAATTTAACCAACATTCTAATATACAACAACCACACCATAGATGAAGTTTTTAGGATGGACTATTCCGGACTACGGGGCTACGTGTCCTTAGGTGGCCTGGTTCTTTGAGCCTGGTGACACAACGTCATGAATGAATTCAACAGAGTGTAAGAATTTAAATTAAATCATTCTTAATTAGTTAACTTAATTAAAATTCATAATTCAACTACATCGACAAGATTTTTGGGATGGACTACTCCGGGTTGCGGAGCTACGTGTCTTAAGGAGGCCTGATTCCTCGAGCCTGATGTTACAATGTCACGAACCTGTTGATGGAAAATATAAACTAATTCAAATTTAAAATCAATAATTAATCGGATTAATTAAGATTAATCAACCCTCTTGATTTCCCACTAACTAAATCAACTTAATCAACACTGATTACTATTGAGTAACCTAGGCCTATGAGGATATTAATTTAGCCTCATAAAAGGTGAAATAAAGTTCATAGCCTCGATAAACAACAAAGTAATAATCATTTCACAATTACAATATATCCTTAATTAAGCTTTAACATATTAATATTTAAACTCAAACATAAATCTCTCCTTTAACCTTTAACAAACTCAAACATTAGACAATCTCAATAAACAACCTAGTTTAGGACCTACCCCAGCCACACGACCTTCTATACACACTTTAGATGATTTGCTAGGACAATCGATTTTAGATATAGGCTAGGCCGATGTTTACTTTACTGTTGTGTGCCGAGTTTTCTGAGTTTTCATTGTATTTTGTGATTGAAATTGATTGGTGTTTATTTATTTTTTCTGCATTGTGTGGATTGATGTGTTGAGCGATTCGATTACCCTTAAGTTAGGAATGATTTGAATGCTCACTGAGTTTTCTGTAGGTGACCACGCTCATATAGGACAATAAAGGGGGCTAAATAAATAATAAATATAACTGCTACATGTACTTCAGCTGCGTAGCCTTCAAATAAAAAAAGCGTGGTCAAGTGTGTTTATTTTTCTGTACATATATATAACTGTATGAGAATTGATTTGGTTATTAAATGGGAATTGATTTGGTTATTAAATGCTTAGGATAACCTTGCAGGAGAGTCTAGAATTTTTTTTTTATTTTATGTCAATGTAATTTGATTAAGTATTGAGTTGTGAAAGAGTCTTTGAGTTTGGGATACTTAGACCCAAAATCGAATTTCCAAGAGAAAAGAATACCCCTTGGGGGATAGTCATTTTCCATTTGAAAGCTCAATTTTGGATCACTACACTACCCAAAGTGGGAAGAATAACCTCACCCTCGGGGGTGGAGTTTTCTTTCCCATTTGGGTATCTAAGTACAATGGACCCAAAGAGCCCGAGGAGGAGAAGATCGAGGAGCTGAAGATAGAAGAGTATCCCACTCAAAGTCTACTTGCATCTTTCTTTCTTAGTATTAGAATCTGAGTCTGTGGTTGGTGGTGCCCGACTACTTTTAATTTATGTAATTTTTGTTTGTAATAAATAGGTCAATTGTATACGGACATTAATTTGAGAAATTAATTATATTTATTGATGTGTGATTTATTTTACTTGCGCATAGGATCTTGCCTTTTTTTCTTAGTTTTTTTTTTTTGCGTTTGTGTGCCGTCTTTTGTTTTAACTTGAATTCAATCGGAGGCTCATGAGGGTACGCAATACATTATACTTCTTCATATAATTATATTTATTTAATTATTCTATTAGAACAAGTTTCCTGCATGTCTTTAGTTTTGGATCCATTTCTACTGTGTAGTAAGTTTTGAAAAGACAATTTAGCCATCAAGCAATATTGTTGATAGTTCGTTATCGCCTACTTTGATAGAGGATAAAATTCTTCACTCAACACGAAAAGTGAGGCAATAATCAAAAACATGATTAAAATGTGAAATAAACTATTTTAGGATATTGATAAACACAATTTTTTTGAGTTAAGCACAGAAATGTTTGACAGAATAAAACTCTTCACTCAATACGAACCGAACCAAACAAAACTTTACACTACAGAGACAGTGATTGACGTCACACTTTACACTACTTTTCAAGAAAACTTCACAATTTTGAATTCTATGAGAACGTGCCGTAGAAGCATTATACCTTATTTGCACCTCCTTTCGTCTTAATATCAATGGACAATACATTTGCAGAGTTTGCCTATCTTCTGTAGAGTAAAAGTTGCAATAATTTTATTTTGTTCCAAACAATACAACATAACAATAACACAACATTTGCAAATGAGTCCTAATTCCTCGAGAACAGTCAAAACAAACTTATCTAAAAATTGACATGGATAACTTCTGATGGATTCTTACATATTCAACATGATGGCTTTGGTGTATATATACTTAACGAGTACTAGGTTTTTTTTTAAGGAAACATAGAGCTACTTCAACCATGTTACATTTAAAGTCATTTAAGGAGTGTATTTGGTATGATATGATGCCTTTCATAGAGACAGGCTTCATTTTTTAATGTATTTACAACAGAAATTCTTATTTTATTAAACATATGATGAGATATAAATGAGGTTCTGTTTGATTTCTGCAGATTCAGGTTATAGAAATGATACAATTGCCATTATTAAGCCTGCCTCAGCCCCATCTAATGCGATGGAAGTAAGTCTTAATAAGATATGCTTGCTCAAAAAATTCCGTATTGACATCTGAAACTGAAAAAGAAAAAAAAACTGCAGTAAACCTATGAGATGACTGAGGATTACATTTATTATGTCAGCGAGGAAGAATTGGTTTTATTTGTTTTTTTTACAACTTTTGCTGAATTATTACTATTTTTTTAAGTTAGGGTAATGGTCATGTAGATGTTTTATGAGTTACTGCTGGTGACCTTCCTGTAACTAAAATCAAATTTACCTACAGGAAAGCATTTTACGACAAAGAAAAGTGGACAATTTACCATGTGTAAGCTGTTGAGCTCTCAACTTTGACCCTAATTCTGTGGGAAATTTTACTATCATTTTATTTTCAGAATTCTAAAGACGTGAGAGACAAAGTGATGAGCGATTCTTTGACTCATAATTCTTTTTCAAAGGCTCAAAAAGGTCAGCATATTTCTCCATTCAAGTGCATCATTATCTTTATGCCAGTTTTCTAACTCAGCAAGTTTACATTAATGCAGCTGAAAAAAATGAAGCCTTGGGTAAGAGGAGCTTTGACAAAGAAAACAAGATAAGTCATTTTTCTTCTATGTAAATATAAGCTGCAGGTGCTATCTTATAATTGTTGACCCACATGCTAAAAGCGTGTGAAACAAGGTGAAACAGGTGAATTAAGTGACGCACGTGTCGGCGCGGCGCATCACTTGAAGGGACAAACCTTCTCCGATTGCCAAAAGGAATGCACCGTTGTAATCAGAGCGTTGAATTCGCCTAAGAGGGAACCCCTCGCAATCAAATCAGACAAAAATGGTTAAAACAAGGGACCGACACCTGAAATTCACGCGCTATATTGTCCAAACGACCTTTGAACGCAAAATGGACTTCGCCGTTACGTTCGGAATGTCGACAATACCTAGAACAGACTATAATTTTGTCCTATGAAATTCGTTGGATTCAGACAAAATCTTATTATCTCAATCAGAAATATAAGAATACGAGGGGGCGAGCGCTATGGCATGCAAAACTTGGGATAAACTATTGAAAAACAACACAATATCTCTCTCTTTCTCTCTATTTTTTCATGATAAGAAAATTTTAGAAGCTATGTCTCTGTTGTAGGTAGCCAAGGCGTTATGTTTAGAAAATTTGGGCGTCTAATGAGATAATTAAATCTACAACTATTGTTAACTCAATGTGTCAAATGTAATGACTAACCATTTATGATTAACTTCATGACTTTCATTAGGAAAGAAGCTTATGTGAAGAAAAGTTTGCCAGCAAGCTGTTAGAATAGTTATTTTTAAAAGTGTATTTGTAGCCCAAATGATGTGAATCAAGTTTAGCAAATATTTGAGTAAAGATCATTGAGCATGTTGCCTAGTGGTACTTCCTCTTACCTCCAAAATGGAGGTCTTAGATTTAAGTCTTTGTTTGGGACAATTTTCTTAGTGCTTTTTAAAGTAGCTTTTGATTAAAAGAATTTTAATTCAAAAAATTTTTATATTAAAAAAGTTACTTTAGAAAGCAGTTGTCCCAAACGAAATCTAAATCTTTAAAAATTGTCTTAATTAGATGCTTAGGTTAGATTGGCTTTTAAGTTGGACAGTAAGGCTGTAAATGAGTTGGAACATGGGCAAGCTTGGATCTTGTTTAACTCATTTCATTGACCATCAAGCTGAAGAATGAGCTGCCTTCATGTTTGTTATTGTTAATGATTTTGAGAGTTTTTATGATAAAATTAATGAGAAAATATAAGCTTTATGTATATACTGAGTTCTTATCAAGCCAAATATTATTTATTACATCAGTTGTTAACATCTCTGCAAGTAAAAATTATCTTCTGAATATGACCTGCTCTTCCAAACACTCAGTTAAATTTGCAATCTTATTAGACTGTCTATTTTCGTGGTCCTTTTTCAATATAATAAACTAGTTTCTTTGATCTTACTATTCATCCTTATCAAGTTCACAGTAAAGAAGGTAAATCTGATGCTTCCATGAAGATGAAGACAAAGCAAAACTCCGATAGTTCCGATGTAATTTCGAAGGCAAGCCATATTCACGCTACGAATGTCTTTTTAGCATGGGAAGAGTTATAAGGAGGGAAGTCCTAATACTTCTGCCTTGCAGGTCTTTGACTTCCATGCAAGAGGTAAGCTACAATCTCTTACTGTTTCGGATCTAAAATGCTTTCTTGCTAGTAAAAAGATGAAGGTAGGCGGTAAAAAAGAAGAGCTCATTGGACGAATTACCGCAATGCTTGACTGATTATTGAGTTTCCAACTTTACTCTTTTGTCCTTTTTTTGGGCAAAATTTTACATTTTATTGCACTTAAAATAATGGAGAACTTGAAGAGGATAAATATATGTGGATTGCCATCCTATCATGATTTCTCGGTGACTTTGGCTTTGAAGCGATAATCTCAGCAGGAAAATTCTCAAACGGCTTATGAACGCAGTAATATGATGCACTTTTTTTTTTTGGTTTTTTTAGGGTTCATTGTTATGTTTCCTAACGAAATGAGTCCTTCATATTTGGAGAGATTATTACTTACGGAGTCCGGAACGTTGTCTTGACTCCAATGACGTGAAACACAGATTTTTTTCTCTCTTATACCAGTTTGTGTATAAGAGAGAAAAAATTCATATATTTTCACGTGATTGGAATCCGGATGACATCCGGACTCGGAGCGTAATCATTTTTCGCATGTTTAACACAGCACCGCTAGATGATGCCATGCCAAACAAGCCTTTAATTTAATTTTATGAGACCAATCAAATGGGTGATTAGATGAGTAAGTGTTTTTGAAATTATTGTGAAGATTTTGGGATCGAATTTTGTATATAATAAGTTATGCTTCAGCACAGAAATTCTTCAAAAAGTAAATAAAATCGATACTTTTATATGATTCGTAGTTTGCACCAGGAATTTTTATGGAATTTATAGTGATTTGTAGGCATGAATACAAATTTATTTGATCAATGATTATTTGGCTAATTACACGTGTTCCATTTAATTACTATATATTTATATGTTTACAACATTATCACTTAAAGACATTTCTATTGATGATACTATTATATACAGCTCAATTCAATTGCTATATAGAATGATAAAATAATCATTTTTTATTTTCAATAATTTGTTAAATTTTTATGATTTTGTTATATCATTTGCAAATGCATGTAATTGATAATTCATATCATTTTAAATATTTAATTGTTAGGTTAATAAATAAAAAATAAAATTCAATTTTTGTTACAATGTTGATGTCACCTATGAAAATTGTGAGAATGACAATTTTTTTAGTAGGATAATTGTGCCCAGTGTTTATTTATATATTTTATTTTATTGAAAATTTACAGGCATGGCCTAACTTTGTTTGGCAGGAAAAATTAATAGGTGCGGAGTGTGCATCGTCCGCACAAGTATTGGGTATCTAGCGGTACCCAGCGGTATCGAGTGCCGATACCTTGCTGGGTATAGTGCTTGTGCGGACGGTTCTACCCGTTTGCACTCTGCACCTAATAATCTCTCGTTTGACAGGGTCTGTTTTCAAGTGAACAGCTAATCTCCTCTCTCTGATGAGGTTACTATCTCTGTGTCGGGGAAAACGATAGCTCTTAAGGTTCAGTATGATGGGAAATAGACCCATGTGAATCCTGTGGTTTAATAGTCTATTCCTCCATGTGCCCAATATTTGTTGACCTCATGTATATTTTTTGGCTCGTATTTCTGCTTGATGTCAGGTAATTTCTTTGCGTTATGAAAAATATCATCGGCTTCTTGGATTTGGAAATCTTAGGAGGGTTCAGTCGGCCCGTCGATGTTAGTCTGCATGTGCGCACTTCACATCTACTGATCTAATTATGAAATTAAAAAAAAAAAACCCGATACTTTTTCAAGTTTATATGCAATGATAATTATTTGCAATGAATTATAATGTGCATTATTATTTGCAATCGATTAAAAATGAGACTCTTCTTTGGGGGAAGGCCTTGGCTTGATGTAATAAATACACATCATATAATGTGCATTACATGATGGGACTTGTATGAAGCAGTATTGATATGCTTATTTGGTCGATAGAACCATAGTCGGTGGGCGACGGAAGTCAAAAAGATCAATATCTAGCAACGAAGGTCGGAATGACCGCCGTCCGGCAACGAAGGTCAGAAGAACCGTAGTCGGTGGGCGACGGAGGTCAAAAGGACCATAGGTGGCGGACGATAGTGGTTAGAAAGACTGTTGTCAGGTAAAGGAGGTCGGAAGGACTGTTGACAGATGGAAATCCAACGTCGGGTAGAAATTCGGGGACGGGTGGAAGTCCAACGTCAGGTAGAAATCCAGCGATGTGCAAAAGTTAGACGAAAGTCCGATGATAGGCAAAAGTCCGGCGACGGGAAGAAATCCAGCGATAGGTGAATGTCCGGCGTTGGGTATAAATCCGACAACAGGCGGAACTCCAGCGTCGAATATAAGTCCGACAAAAGTTCAATACCGAACAGAAGTTCGGTGGTGGGCAAAAGTTCGGCATCGGGTAGAAGTCTGATGACGGGCGGAAGTCCGGCGACGGGCGGAAGTCCGGCGTCGGGTAGAAATCCAGTGACGGACAGAAGTCCAGTGTCGAATAGAAGTCTAGCGTTAGTCCAACAATGAGCGGAAGTCTTACGTCAGGTAGAAGTTCAAAGAAAGTTCAGGCAATGGGCAGAAGTCTAGTGTCGAGTAGGAATCCGACGACAAGCGGAAGTCCAACGTTGGGTAGAAGTTCGTTGAAAAATCGATGACGGGAAGAAGTCCAACGACGGGCAAAACTTCAGGGTCAGGTAGAAGTTCAACGAAAGTCGGCGGATGGGTAGAACTCTGCCTCGGATAAAAGTCTGATGTTGGATGGAAGTCCGACGTTAGTCGGGGGTCGGGTAGAGCTCCGGTGTTAGTTGGTAGTCAGGAAGAACTCCGGTGTTAGTCGGCGGTCGGGCAGAACTCCGGGGTCGGTAGGATGCCGGGTGGAAGTCCGGCGGTGGTCAAGGAAGAGTCATGTTGTTAGAGAGCTCTCTTCATTTTCTTCTTGCTTGGGCCTCTTTCTTCCCCGCCTTTTGGGGTCCCCCTCTATGAGGAATGAGGGGTTTATTTATAGTTTTCTAAGAGTGGCATGACCAGTAAATAAGAGAAATGTCAAGGGTAAATTGGGAGTGGTTTGAAGGGACGGCCGATGTTGAATCCCTTGATCATGGACCATTTATTGAGCATTTGAATGTCTTAAGGATATCAAAATTCAACGATCTTGGGTTCGTTGGATTCGTTTTGTCGAGCCGCTCGATTCAACTATAAGCACACCACATTTGGAAACTGTTTGGTAATCCAAATTATGGATTGAACCTTCCAAATGCACTTCGGGTCTTTGATTTGGACCCATTTGAGGTCGGATTGGGTTGAATTTGGTGGCATTGGGTTTGTATTTTTGAGACCTTCAGTTCGACTATAAGTTTACTGAAATTAGAGTTCAGATGATCCCGTATTTAATTTTTGAAGTTTCCAACTTGATTTTGCTTCGAGATTCGTGCCCGATCAACATAAATTTTTGATGAGATATCAAGAGATATCAATAATATATTATTGAAGCATGCAATCTTTATATATCATAAATACATATTTTAATATTTATTAATGATATTTTAGAATATTCAGATGATAGATGAATATTTAATGTTTGGAGTTTATTAAAATATTTAGCAAACATATAGATAAAAAATGGTGTTGCAACAGACAAAATTTTATGAGGAATATCAAAAAATGGAAAATTTATCGGGTATGATGTAGTTATAATAATTTAACTAATAATTTTCATTTATTTACAAATGATATTCTTCCATGTAATTGGAGAAGTTGTTGATATAATATAGTAGACCTAAATGCTTTAAAATGAATATTGTGGTGGAAGTTTGAAGAGATTTATGGCATGGGAGTTGCATTTAATATATTATTTGATGTTCATTAGGGCATTCTTCTTAGAAGAAAGGAGAACCTAATCGTCGACGGCTTTAGTAAGACTCTTGGTGTTGACGTTGGGAGTTATAATTAATATTAACAATGTGCAATGACTAATGACCAAGAAGTTTAATATAAATTTTTGTATTGATGTTGGAAGTTAGGGTTGGTATCGACAATGTGCATTAACCTTATAGCCAATGGTATACATTGATGTTAGCGGCGACAACGTCAATAAGCATTGCCCTTTGTAACAATGATATGCATCAACCTTATAGGTTATAGTTTATATTCATGTTGTTGGCCATAGTGGTGATGAAGTTGGCTAGTGCTAGTATTGGTGTCAACAACGTGCATTAGCTTTATAGGTGATTGTGTGTGTAAATGATATTGGTGATGGTGGACAACAATTTCAATGACATCAATTTAGTTGGGCTATAGTGTTCAGAAGATTGCAGATGCTTGATAATGGTTGAAGAGTCATGGTTGGGAAATGTTGTTTGGAGGATCATAGTCAAGTGATGATAGCTAGAGGATCGTTGTCGAGTGACGGTGGTTAAATGATTGTAGTTATACGATGGTGGGTAAATGATCATAGTTAGATAATTGTATTAGGGAAATCATAATTGTGTAATGGTGTTTGAGCAACTATGGTTGTGCTATGGTTGAAAAACTATAGTTGAGCAATGGAGATCGAAGATCTATAGTCAAACGAAGGTGGTCCAAGGATCTTAATTGAACAATAGTGCTTTTATGATTATATTCAGGTGAGGGTGGTTCAAGGATTGTTGTGAGAAGATGATGGTTTGAGGATCGTAATTAGATAATAGTGGTGGAGGACTATAGTTATATGATGGTGCTAAAACGATCGTAGTTGGGGGATGGTGATTAGGAGACCATTGTCGGGTGAAGATGGGTGGAAGAATGTAATTGCCGATGGTGGTAGGAGAATTATAGCTATGTAATGGAGTTGAGCGATGACAGTCGAATTACTATAGTTGAGCGATAGTGTTCAGGAGATCGTAATCCAGTGATAATCACAAGAGGACTGATGATGATGTTTAGATGATGACAAATGTCGAACAATGGAGGTAGATGGTAAAGGTTATGCATCTATAGAGATGATGGTTGGTAGTGGTGGTGAAAAAATTACAAGATTCTTCATATTTCAAAAGTTTATTTGATCTTCAGTCCAACCCTCATTATGTATAGAGTGGGGATTAATTTTTAGTTTTTTTTAGAGTGGAGCTCTAGGATCCTTCTATCATTGAGCTCCTATGAAGGATGCTTGTGCTTCTCAAGACAATTAGATAAAAGGTCTGTGATTTAAATATATGAATCATAATCAAAATTATGCTTCTGCTTCTCATAAGCTCCTCTGAATGGTGCTTGAACTTTGCTCATCTAAATCCATAGCTAGTTGATTTAGAGGATACTTATAAATGAATCAAAAAATTGATGATATTGAATAAAGGGATAATTTTTAATTAAAGATGATAATGTGCTCTCTATAATAATAAGATCGTCTCTCTATGTATCATAATACATAAAATTGAAAATATATGCTTATTCTTTGTTTTCTTTGAAACGTATACCAAAAATTTCATTTTGGCCCCCCATTTTTTACCGCATAATACTTATTTAAAGTTTAATGTGATGGACATTAGTTTGAAAAAGGGTTCAAATCATATTCCAACAAAGTTGGGTTCATGTTCAAATCTCATTCATACATTGTTCGAACACCGTTCAAGCAAACAATCAAATAAGGTTTGAATACTACTCGAACGATATTTCGAAAAGGGTTAAAACCCCGTTCAAACAAAGTTCTAGCAAGGTTTGAACATGGATTGAATAAGATTTGAGCAATATTTGAACATAGTTATAATATGGTGTGGACATGATTCAAATAAGGTTCATTGAAGAGAAAGCACAACATAATATAGTGCAATTCTTGTATATGACCCAACATTCATAAGGGCATCTCCAATCGAAATTCTCATTTTTCACTGCAAAATGCAGTAAAATCAAAAAGTCTTCTGATTCATCTCCAGTGGAACGTCATTTTGCCCCCAAATCATCGCTCGTTTCTTTCGCGCCTTTCTCAGACGAGTTCTGTAGAGAGAAAGAAATGGCGCAAGTGAACAGTGCGACGTCAATATTGGCGTTGCACTATTCAACTAACATCAAATGGCGGAAAAAATGACGTTCGGTTGCGACGTTTGAGGGCCTCCATTCGGCTATTTGCCGAACGGTTGGAGATGGTCTAACATAATATATGTAATTTGAGAAGTTAACAAAAACCGAAGAAGATGTTGCATTTTTGCTCATTTAATATTTGACATAATCATAAAAAAATAGATTTAGAGTTACATTGAAACTAAATTCTTTAAAAGATAATACTCACTTATATATAAGAAAGTGAATCTAATAGCTCTTGAAGATAATTAAACTTCAAAACATTCTCATCAAGATATGACCGTGAGTTGACCTTCTTAGGATGACAATTTGTTACGAAAATGCCCTCCTTCGCTTTAATCTTGAGCAGTACATTTATCAAATAGTAATTAGTGCAAAATTCAATACTATCAAATGCCATATCATTGCCACCAATGTTATTCTAGATTTAAAGTTTATAGTATAAATGATATTTGTAAAACTCATCACTAACTTTGAATAACTAGTTGAAGATGGAGATAGAAACTTTGTTGCAAATTGAGTACATGCAAAAGATCACTATAAATGAAGAAAGCAATGGTAGAACAGCTTTTTCTCAAGAGTCTATGGAAAAATTATTCTTTGCGGTCAAAAGATTGTTCGTAAGCTGATCAGAATGCGTCACGTCATCCGACACATAATGGTTCACATCAGCAATACATAGCAAAAAAATAATGTGACATATCCTGATTCGCATTCAGACGGCATCCGATCATGCATTTCGTGTTTGACAACGCCCGACAGCAATGCAGGCAACCGGCATTCGGCAACAGCAGTCGGCAGAGGGCAGCGGCGACTCGCTGCGACGCGCGGCAGACTTGACCGCTGGTCTGCGTCAACGACTCGCGGGCACTGGGCAGACTGGCAAACGCGATTTTGTGCTTGCGAGCAGCTGGATGACGCGCACTGCTCGAGTAGCAGCTGGATCGCGGAACGCACGATACTTCGACAGCGACTCGATGCACGAGGGCAAAACGACGAAGGCAAAGCGAGCATACAGGGCAGTCGGGTCATTTCAAGTTCTCGGGTCTACCCAAATCAGACCATTTTTTTAAACGGGTCGAAAACTATAACCCGACCCAACCCAAAAATTTTTAGGTCGAATTCCTATCGAATTGTGGGATCAAATCACACCCCTATCGTCAAGTGCTGCCATAATGGCGATTTTTTTTTTTTTGGACATTTAGGTCATTTAAGGCAAACTCACACACACAACGCATACATTTGGACTCGAACCTTAGACCTCTTAGTTGGAAGCCTAAGCCCTCAACCAATAGACCAAGGGGAGTTGTATAATGGCGATTTCACTCAATCACCGACATCCTACAGCGGCTATCCTCACCGAGATTCTACTCCAACTCCGGACTGCCACTCTGAGTATTATTAAATGGCAATGCTCCCTCTGTGCAGGTAGTGCAGAGGGAGTACTCAAATTTTATCGTCGTGCACGATTCCCAAAGATTCTCCCTTTAATCATCTTCATGGCGGAGACGGCTTTCCGTTTACAACGTAGGATTATTCGATCTTTTCACATCACTCGTGGATACATCCTCCTATTTGCTTTTTTTTTTTTTCTATTGCTTCCGCACACATGCCATGCTTGGCTATCCATGTGATATGGAGATGGGTTTCAGATCTTGACAGCTTTCTTCTGCTCCTTCTCTCCGCCGGTCTTATGATCTGTCTCCTCTGTTCTCCAACTGTAAGCTTCATTCCAAAGACCATGTGGTTTTTATGCGCTTCTCTGCAGCTTTGATTTTTTTTAATTTTTGTTTTGATCATTGGTCGGATCATGAGATAAGTGGACCGATCTGCGTAGGAAAGGAGGTCCAGTGACTGCGAGAAATAGGAAACTCTTCTCTGTTGTCTCGTTTTCTGTAGGGTCTCAGGCTTCTCTTGTTGTAGGGAAGATGAAGGATAATTGGAGCAGAGGAGGAAATGGAACCATCTGGCATTTCCGGCTCTGCCTTTGATGATACTTGACGCATGGGGTATCCTTCTTTCTCAGTTAATTTCATTCTTGCTTTGTTTACTATTTTTTCTTATCTATCTCTCGACTTTGATCGATCCTCGCTCTTTTGTTCAACCATCTTTGTTTGGTATTACGAAGAACAACAGGTGATCTCAGCCAGTTGTAGATCTTTTATTTAGAACTTGAAGAATATAAAATTAGTGATTTTTTGATATTATAATTAGCTTTACTTGGAACTGCTAATCGGAGAAAATGAGATCTGTGGCCATGGATAAGAAAGCTTGCTACAAGCATTCATCTTCAGTAGAAAATTATGCTTCAGAAAGTTTTGAACTCCACAAAGGGAACAGCAACGGTATGGGATCTCATCACAGCAAGGCTTTAGGTTCTCGCAGTAAGCAAACTCCATCAAAGTGGGATGATGCCCAAAAATGGTTGATTGGTTTCTCCAGTGGAGGAAATGATGGCCACTCTAACAGCAAGCCTCGGAATTCGAATGCAGAAGACAGGAGACTTCTGCATTGTGCATCGCAGAGGGGCAGGGATTCTTGTAGCAGTGCTGATGTGGGCTTGGAAGAAGATCTAGCTCTGCGAAATATCATTCAAGAAGAGGGGGAGACTAAGAAGATAGATTGCAGTGATTTAGTTTGGAGGGTCAATAAACCTATGGAGGATTCAAAATTAGAAGTCAAAGCAGTTTCTTTGAGAGATTTCGGCACAGAGATGACTCCCATTGCAAGCCAAGATCATTCCAGGACTGCTACTCCAATCCGAGCAACAACGCCAGTTTTGACAAGTCCCATATCTTCCAGATCTTCAACCCCAGGAAGGTGTCGTCAAGGGGGAAATTCCTTTGAATGTTTCCACACAGGGGTAAAGAATTTACAGAGGGACAATGAAGCAGTGCTTTTTGGCACAGCTAGTGGGAATGGGTGGGCTGTAAACAGGGAAGGTACTGCAGATGGTCGGAAGGTGGTGGGTGATAATGATTTCGAGCAGATGAAGAACTCTAATTCTCTGGAGTCTAGAGCAATGGCTTGGAATGAAGCAGAACGAACAAAATACATGGCAAGGTACTCATTTCTCTGCTGCATCTTGCCAAAGAATATGATATATATACCGTGTGTGATTTGATTATATTTTAGCCAGGAGCTCTTAAGTCAAGAGTGTATTAATTGCTGATGCAAGAAAGAGTAAGAAAGTATTTTAATTGTCTGCTTCTACCGCTTCTGTTGTGATTGGAAGATTGATCTGCCATAATAACATTTGATAAACAGTTTTTACCATCATCTTATTTACAATTTATACAATGTGTATGGTATCATCAAAATGTGTTGCTGTTAATACAAACTAGAAAGAAAGCCATGTTTCTCGCCATTTGGTCTTTTGATTGCTCGTAACTAGCATTGCATGGTCTTTGTGCTGACAGCCAGTCAACAACACAAGATGAAAATCAGGAATATTTGCAATATATATTATCATGAACCAGGCAAGTGCTAGCTAGCTAGACAACTTGCATTTGCTTAGGAGCTATTTGTGATAGTTTTTATTTATTGTTTTCTAATTTGCTTAGTGTTAGTTTTGTGTGGAATCTGATTGTGTCAATCAATCAAGTCGTATGATTGCCTTGAACCTCAATTCAATCGATCTAGCTTTTGTGGGGGGTTCAAGGGGGTTTTCCCCAGCTTGGGTTCAGTTGCTTTGCACACAAATTTTTTTTCTCATACAACCGTACAATAGCTATGACACTATGTACCCGAGTGCTGTGGAACTGTTTTGTCTGGTTGGAGAAGACAGAGAGCGGAGTGCAGCGCTCCAGATAGGAGTGTCAATTTCGGGTCACGGGTAGGGTTCGGGTCGAACCCGGAACTGACCCGCACTATTCGGGTCAACCCGAACCCAACCCGTTTTTGCAAATGGGTTGATTTTTTGGATCAGAACTCGACCCGCTTCGGGTTCGGGTCAACCCGAAATGGCCCAAATGACTCGGGGCCGACCAAAAATTTCTAGTTACCGGGTTAAAAAATAGGTCAATCTCCGCTTTTGGGTCAAAAAACGAATCGAAAATGGGTCAACTTGGATTTCTAGGTCAAAAACGGGTTTTTAGGTCCAAAACGGGTCAATTTCAGGTCAAAGGGTCAACCTGAACCCGACAAGATTTTTGAAACGGGACGAATTGTTGAACCAAAACCCGGCCTGTTTCGAGTCTGGGTAGACCCTAACCTAGAATTTTCGGGTTGGGTTCGGGTCATCTCAAATATTGACACCCCTAGCTCCAAACTTCGGCACTGTGGCCCTGTTAGGCAAATTAGAGACAGAGAGTTGAGCGCCACGGCACTGTCAGGCAGATTGGAGATAGAGAGTTGAGCGCCGCAGCCCTGTGAGGCTGGCTGGGTAATTTTTTTTCCTGTTTTCATGAAGGGTTGTGTTCCTTGGTGGTTTTAATGTGTTTTTCTCTTTATTATATTTGAGAATGGTGTAAGATGGAAGAGAGGAAATGAGAGAGTGAGAAAGAAAGCTATTTTTACAAATTTCTCCCAATATTTATAGTGAATTTCTTGGTTTAGTGAGGCTCTATTGTTTTTTCCCAACTTCAATTTTTCCCATGTTAAATCCTTGTTTTCTTTCTTTTCACTATATTTTCTCTTTCTATTTGTGTTCGCTCTATATGTTGCTTACTTCCTCAACACTTGGTTATTGTTTTGTTTATGCTATTACTTGAAATAAAATATATGTGATTTTTTTCTTATGCACTTATTGCTCAAAAAAAAAAAAAAAACACAATCATGATAGTACCATGCCCAATTAATAGATTTAATTCACAAGTTAAGGTGGATAAAAATTTCATGCCCACTAGTAAGCAAGTCAAGGTTTTCATGATTGAGATCTTGCCGCTAATGTTTTAGTAATTTTTATTATTGTAATTTTAATATTTTAATAATAATAAATATAAATATAAATGGATGAGAATGACATTGTAAGTTATCCAATTATTCTATTTAGCTGATTGCATCCTCCAACAATTTGTTTCTTCATAAAATTGAAACTTAATAGCTTAGATTGGTGATTACCTTATATTATCTTCTTTGAAACTAAAAGAATGTTTTGGAAATTTCAAAAGCAACTAAATTATCTTCTTAGAATTTTGAAAACAAGTCTATTTATTAAAATAAAAAAACTCTCACCAAACATGGTTTATTAGCTTTTTAATATATTTTGTAAATACAAAAGAAAATGAAAATTGGTTCCAAACAATACCTAAGTTTTTGTGCTTTGTTTCCATTCAAAGATTAATTGAATGTTGCCAATGCTTAAAATATTCCATGTTGGTAAGCTATCCTTACTAATGACATTTTTGTAATTTTTTTTCTTTTGTATTCAAACTTTTATTCTCCCAAAAGCTTGAGAGCTTTTTGAACTTGCTAGACTTATTGTAGGTTCAAGCGTGAAGAGGTGAAGATACAAGCTTGGGAAAATCATGAAAAGAGAAAAGCTGAAATGGAGATGAAGAAGATAGAGGTATCAAGTTAATATTTATGACATATATTTAATCGTATCTGTTTGTAATAATTTAAATGAAAGCTTTAAGTTTTTTCTATTGTTATTTAATATTAGATAATATTTTTTGGGAATACTTGTGATGCTTGAATTAGCTATAAGCACACAAATGAAGTAATAATTTGGAGGGAATAAGTGGCCCACTACATGGGCGACTGCCCCAATAATCGCCTCCTTTGTAGACGACTAGCACTGGTGCTAGTCGCCCGTTGAATGGGAACTAGGGCTATTTTTAATTTATTGCTTGGGTTATTGTAAGGGTGTTATGGGCTTGAGTTCAAGCAAGCTGAAATAAAACACGTTGTGTTAGATCGAGTAACAAGGTTCTTGATGTTTGAGATCAAAAATTTTAGAAGTGTAGGGATAACGAAGGTGGAGAGGGAGGCAGAAAGAGTAGAGGAAGGGCGTAGACGGGATTCTTGATCCCCCATGGCTGCTCTGATACCATGTGAGAAGACGAGGACGACAGCGAACGAACGACAAAGAGAATAGAGACGGTAGAGAAATATGTATTATTAATGTGAAAATAGAGTACATGGATAAGTATATATAGAGCTAAGTAAACCAAACAATACACGTCATATAGATGACGTGGACGGGTTGCTAACAGTATGTGCATTTAATAGAGAAATCAATAATCATCGTTATAATTTGTGTAAATGTATCCAATTAGGTATATATGCGAATGATCATAAATTGAATTTATCTATAATGTATATGACCTAGTAATTCATTTACCTTCATCCTAATGTTGAACACTCCTATTAAAGTTGTGCATATCTGAACAACTAGTGGAATCCAATGTAGCTTTTGTCATTTCTATCTTATTGAACTTAAGGTAATGGATAAACTCATTTTGTCATTTATCATATATATTTCCTTCTTCTTTTTTTTTAATCTCCAAAGCAAGCTAGATATTCATTTCCCATTTGAATTCTGAAAAAAGTAGCTATGCGCATGTATAAATATCTTAAATGAATCCAATGTTGCTTTTGGCATTTCAAGCATGATTAATAACAGATAATGCATAGTACTCTTTTTATATTTTTTCCTTCTTTCAATCTATGATATGTTAATTTCATGCTTATTGATGGTTTAAAGAAATCAAAATTTTTAAAACACAGCTTCGATTTATCACAGACATTTTTTGACTGATTTATTTATTTTTTATTAAGTATGACATCGATCCTTATTTTCTGTTTCTTAATCCTTCCTCCTTAAGATTTCGTTTGGGACGGTTTTTTTAATGCTTCTTAAAGCAGCTTCTACTAGAAATATGTTTTAAGAAGCAGTAAAAAAGCCGTCCCAAACGAAGCATAAGTTTCTAATTTCTTGACAATCCGGGTCTTACTTGCTTGAGAGCTAACATTTGGGTTGGTGATGATTAAAATTCCTTGAATTATAGTAAGTGGGTCATTGAACTTAAATATCAAATATATTTACTTTGTACAATTATTACTTCCATTGGGAGTACCCAAATAAAAAAAAATGATCTTATGTTCATTTGAGTTTGGTGTGAGACGGCTTTCTTACTGATATATCGGTAAAAAATTATGTTGATCAGGCACGAATCTCAAAGCAAAATTGAGCTGTAAGCTTCTGAAATTAAATCAAAGACTATATGAACTCTATTTTCAACAAACTTATAGTCAAACTGAACGTCTCAGAAAGACGAACCCATTGACACCAAATTCGACTCAATCCGAGCCCAAATGGGTCCAAATCAGGAGTCCGGAGCGTTGTTGGAGGTTTCAAACCACAATTTGGATTACCAAACGATTTCCAAACATGACATGCTTATAGTCGAATCGTGCGGCTCGACAAGACGAATCCAACGAGCCCAAGATCACTGAATTCTGATATCATTAAGGCTTTCAATTGACCAATAAACGGTCCATGATTAAGGGGATCAATATCGACCGTCCATTCAAACACTCCCATTTTGACCTTTGTCCTCCACATATTTACAAGTCATGCCACTCTCAAAAATCTATAAATAGGCCCTCATTCTTCACATGGAGAAGGATGAGAGGAAGAGAAAGAAGGGAGGAATTTGGGAGCTCTCTTGTCATCGACCACCGCCGAAGTTCCTGCCGACCACCACCGCGATTCCTGTCGGCCACCGCCGGGGTTCTTACCAACCATCGCCGGACTTCTGCTCGTCCGCCAATCACCGCCGGAGTTCTTCACGACCACCACCGGGTTCCTCCTGATCATCGTTGAAGTTCATGCCAACCACCGCCGGAGTTCCTCCCGACCATTGCCAGAATTCTTCCCAACCATCGACGGACTCCTGATAGTCCGTCTACCGCCGTCGAACTTCCACAAATTTGTTGACTGCCGCCGAACTTCCGCCCCGAAAGCCAATCATCGCCGGACTTCCACAAGTTCGTCGACCGCCACCGGACTTCCGCTCGTCCGCTGACCACTGCCGAACTTCCGCCAGTCCGTCGAACATCACAGGATTTCCACTAGTCCGCCAACTACAGTCCTCCCAACCACTGTCATCCAACTCCAATCCTTCTAATCTCTGTAGTCTGCCAACAATGGTCTTTGCGACCCCCGTCGCCCGCCCGCCGACTACTATCTTTCGGACCTCCATCGTCCGCCAACTACTGTCTTTCAGACCTACGTCGCCTGCCGACTACACTACCCTCCGACTATTATCCTTCAGATCTCTATCGCCTGCTGACTACAATCGATGCTGACTATGGTCCTCTCGACCTACGTCGCCTGCCGACTACACTACCCTCCGACTACCTCCATCGTCCGCCGACTACGGTTCCCCCGACTTGTGTCGCCCATTGACTACGGTCCTTTTGACCTTTGTCATTAGCCAACAATGGTCCTTGTGGCCCCCATTGCCTGCTGACTACTATCTTTTGGACCTCCGTCATCCGCCGACTAATGTCTTTCGGACCTCCGTCGTCTGCCAACTACGATCCTTCCTACCTCCGTCGTCATACTACGGTTCTTCTGACCCATGTCGCTCACTGACTATGATTTTGCCGCCCCAAACAAACATGTCAACATTGATTCTTCCAACTCCCACCGTGTAATATACTATGTATGATGTATATTTGCTACATCGAGTCAAGACCTTTCTCTTAAGGAAATGCCTCATTTGTAATGGACTGCAAACAAGAATGGATCCATTCAAACTAGGCCAGGCCCCGTGGTTTTTCCCCCTTTTCAGGGGTTTCCACGTAAAAAAACTCTTGTCTCTTATAAATGCTACACCCTCTCATTTCATCTGTTTGTGTGCTGGATATTCGTATAAAGCTAGATGTTAAATTTTATCACTCTCTACCGCCGCGATTTTTCCAGGACGCAACACTTACTGCTTCTTAAAGCAGCTTTCTAGGTAAAACAAATTCATTTTTGTACTAAAAAGCTACTTTAAGAAGCAGTAAAAAAAACCGTCCCAAACGAAACTTTAATTTCATCTCATTTTCTTCGCTCACTACTGATTAATTTTATTGTCTTTAATGAAATGCTCCCTCCTAATGCAATAATAGTATTTTGTATTAATAGGTGAAAGCTGAGCGACTTAAATCTCGAGCTCAGGAGAAACTGGCTAACAAGTTAGCAGCAACAAGAAGGATAGCAGAAGAGAAACGCTCAAATGCAGAATCCAAACTAAATGAGAGTGCTGCAAGAACAGCCGATAAAGCAGATTATATTCGAAGAACAGGCCATTTGCCATCCTCCTTTTTTTTCAAGCTTCCTTCACTGTGTGGATAATATCCTCTTCCTTTGAGGACTGTGTTGCCAGTTCTTCTGCCTAAATGCATGCATATTATGTTTCAGAAAGTGTCTGTGTATTCATTCCACATTCGAATCTGTTCGACCGTTGAGTTTTGCGTTATCATTCAATAAGTGCTGAAAGTCGAAGCTTATCTTACAGATTTAATGTTGGAAATTTTGATGATTTTATGAATTTGCCTTCAACAATTGGTCATCTTCAACAAAAAAAAAAAAGAACTCCACAGAATATTCTGATCAGATTTTATCACCAAGGCTGAAAATTTCTATCACCATTCAAATGGTATTTGTACCAATGTCATGCATATGAAAGGAAATTTGAGTTTCAAGACCTCCTTTATTTCATTGGTTTAATGTTGATTTGGAAGGCATCTTCTTGGTAATGTGAGCTTGAATTGCTCTATCAATAATAAAGCCATTTAATACTTGTCATATCATATTCTTGATGTGGTGATCGTCGAAAGAATCGGACCTACTTGAATAAACACAAAGCTTAAAAGCTTCAATAAGAGATAATATTCGTCAATATACTTCTTACTACAATACTTTGCCTATTTAAAAGCTAATAAGAATATTCTATAAACTTGTAATAACCTAGTCTTAAGGAGCATTTTAAAGAACATTCTAGAAACTAGTAATTAGATTGTAACAAACTTAGATGAACTACTCCTAATGAATACTATAACTAAATTGTTCCGCATCAATTCTTTTAGCCATTTTGGAGTTAGCCAACACTACTAAAAAATCACTTTTGGCAGCAAAATAAATTGGCTTTTGTGGAGGTTAAAATGGTTTTAAAATCGATTCATGTTTATTGTGATTGATATGCGATGCAAAGACATTTAGTAGTTTCATGTCGGAAAAAGCAACCTATTACAGTGGTTTTGAAACAGATACAACCATGTGCTATAAAAATATAACACATTTTTTTAGTGCAAATTTACCTCTTTTTAAATGCCATATTTGAAAGTTTTTATATATTGTATGATTTGCAAACTCAATTTTTTTATATCACACCAATACATTTAAACTTTGAAAATATATATATACTTACTATATTTTTATTAATTTTTAAAGTCCTATTAATATATAGGACTCGGTGCACTTGTATTTAATATGAATTAGTTAAGTCAAAGTTTCTCCTATGAAATTATTGTATTACGGAGTTTTGGGGGTAGGGGTCTCCATGTAAAAAAGTTAATGAAGGGGAGAGCAGAACGAGCTCCGATTTCCGATTTCCGAATTCCGACTATGTGATTGCTATTATGAATGACTATTAAATCGATTAGACAAACAAATGAATCCCGTGGAGAAGAAAGCCGCCGCCAATCCGTGGAAGGAAGGGGAACACGCTTCCCCGGCTTGGGGTGCCCTACTCTTCGGCTTGATAGGCGCCACCATCACCACGGCCGCGGTATCCCGTTCTTCATTTCTATCTCCATTCCTTATGCTGCGTTATGGATGCTTGGCGGGGCTGTAGAAATGTAGGAAGACGGGGAGATCACAGGTCTATTTACTCGAATCATATTAGTATATGGGTTTTTGACGGTAGAGGGCATGGCTTAGATTGATTTTCAAGTTCTTTAATTGTGTTTGATTAGTTATAATCGCAACAGTGTAATAGATTTGCATCGGTTCTATTTTTATATTATGGGTTTCACTGAACCACAGAGAATTGGTTTCCTCATGAAGTGCTAGAATAACTATGCATGATATGCAAGTTTTAAAAATTCACCTGTAATTATGTATATTATATATGCTTGGCCATCTTGGATAAGGCCACATTTGCCCTCTCACTGAAATCTTAGTTCTGCAACTTCACCTATGCATGATGTTTTCCACTTGTTGATCCTAGGAAATAAAAATTGTGCGAATTTTCTCATTACATGGCTCATTCTAGAGGACAAAAGTAAGTTTTATGAATTATTTTTTCCCGTGGCAGTTGAAAAAAATATTGTAGCAAGCTAAAAAATAGTGCATGCTTTGAATTTTATGTTGAATTTAACTTGAATTGCTTGAATTATCTTATTTTGAAAAATAATAGATTTTCTTTTATCATTGAATGAATTTATTCACAATCTCATGCACGTTACTTGTGTAAGACAATGAACCCAAGACCTTTTGGTTGGAAGCCTAATGTCACGGATAGATCTTCTATAAGTCACACGCACAACCTTAGCACTTCTGCCTAGTGCTAAGTCAGCCTTAAATTCTCACAAATCACAATGCTTGGCTAGAGAGCAAAGAATGCTAGAGAGAGAGTGTATGGGGTAAGCTTCACTATTATAAGAGAGCTTTTACAATAGAGGTTGGAGGGGTTTTGAGAGTTGTTGGGAGTTGATTACAAATGAAGGGGGAGGGGTCCTATTTATAGCCCTTATCCCATGCCTAAGAACAATCGAGAGAGGGGGTTTGGGGGTCCTATTTATCCCCATCCTTCCATGGTTAGGAACAATCTAGAATTCCCTCCAAAATACATGACTATGGAATTCTTTTGAATACTCCACATTATTCCCTACACTCTTATATAACTCTATAATATTTTAGAGAGTGCTAGAGTATCCTAGATTACTCTCTAAATATCCACACCATTCTAGAATATTCTAAGCCTTTCTAGAACCTTATAGAATCTTATGGAATCTTTCGAAACCTTCCATATCCTTCCAGAACTTTCCCATGTCGTGTGACACCATTGAGGAATGGTCTTGGAGGACTTCTTGACCTCCACTTGGCATGTCATGCCCAAGAGGATTGGCCAAACCTCTAGGTCAAACATTTGAGCGTGACACTCTTCCCCACCTATTCTCGCGATGCCCTCATTGCGAGCCTTCCAGAATTCATGCTGAAGGTCCTTGGATTGCCACAGGGAGTTGGTTACAAATGAAGAGGGAGGGTCCTATTTATAGTCGTCCTCCTATGACTAGGAACAATTTAGAATTCTCTTCAAAATACATAAGTTTGGAGTTCTCAAGAATACTCCACATTATTCCCTACACTCTTATATAACTTTTTTTTTCTTTTTCTTTTGAATAATCATAAACACTCTTATATAACTCTATAATATTTTAGATAGTTTTTGAGTATCCTGGATTACTCTCTAAATATCCACATCGTTCTAGAATTTTCTAGAGTACTTTAGAATCTTCTAGGAAACTCTAAGCCTTTCTAGAACCTTCTAGAAGCTTCTGGAACCTTCCGAGACCTTATAGAAACTTCTTGAGCCTTCTAGAATCTTCTAGAACCTTCTAAAATCTTCCAGAACCTTCCATATCCTTCCAATGTCGTATGACCCCATTTAAAAATAGTTATGGAGGACTTCTTTGCCTCCACTCGGCATGTCACGCTCAAGGGGTTTGGCCAAACCTCTAGGTCAAACATTTGAGCGTGACACTAAACTCTCCACCAAAAGGTTAAGATGACCCACTTAACTATTAAAAAGTTGATTAAAAGTTTATGTTTACCACAAAACTTGTTCTTCCAATTCATATTAATGAATACTTACATGATTTGTTGTTCTCAAACTTGCAGGTCTATCAACTCCGCAGGAGTGTTAGCTGGATCTACACTGAGGTAGTTTGACTTGACACCCTTCTAGATTCCTTCTTTTCTCTTTTTATTAATGGTAAATGGCATGCTATATTAAGTTATTAACTATTGAAAGATCGTTTATATATTTCCTAATCATCGTTGGATGATTTCATGTAAAGTATCAGCATTGCATACATTAATCCAAGAAAAATTAAAGGAGAATGGAGTGGTGGGTTCAGATATAAAAGATGTCATAATTTATTAACTTATTATGTATGGTATATTTTCTTGTTCAATTCAAAACTTACATACTTAACATTTTCTTTTCTGATTATAATTTAAGAGTGGCATTCAATACAATCATAAATAGAAAAAAATGCCTCATTTATTCAATAGGCATAGAAATCAGAATAGAGAAAACTAACCAGTAAAATTTCAATTTCTTACAGTCAGTGTTCAAAATAAAACATTCTAAAATATATTAAAAGTTACATAGTAGAAACTTCATAAAATTCTAGAAAATCACATTTTTGCCTATAACTTGTTATATATTTATTGGAATTGAAATAAAAAACAGCTATTTATACATCTATGAATGCAATTTGAGTATCTCTCTCTTTCTCTAAATGTGAGATAGTATGGGTGCATGTTTCAATAGAAACCAGTTTCAATGAATAGGACCATGAACAATATCGCATAATATTTATTAAGATGTGGCTGATATCTTGACTACACTGCTAGTACAGTTTGAATAACTTTTTCAATCTCTATAATTTTCTAAATGTCGGCTACCTTAGAAATTTCTTAATTAGTAGAGTTCCATTTGTTTAGAACTTTCATGCTTTTGTTTTAACAAACTTAACTCACCTTTTTCTTTCTTCTTGTTCTGATAGCTGAATAGGTCAGATCCCCAGTCAACTTGGCGAAATTCAAGAGCTGGTTCTAGTAGAAGATTCCAAGAAGAAGCTTGGAGAAGATATAACCGCCGGATGAATGAGGAGCATAAGGAGGAAAGGGAGAGAGTAGTTAGTATACCCCCTTGAAATTTTGTGTCATTAACGATCTTCCTATTCTTTTATTTTTTAACTCTTTCATGTGAGGACTATTGTTTATGAATTTTTTACTTATCTTTGTTTTCATTTGGATATCTTTTGCCTTTGATAGTGTTCCCCTCCAAAAATTTTTTTGTGCAAGTCGCTTAGTTTTTCTAGGTTTGTAGATGCAGGCTTAGTTTATCTTGGTTTGTAGATGTAGGTTAAGGCAGGATTTGGCACATTTTAATCAATAATGTTTTTTTCTTAGTCTACGTTCAAATTTAGGATATGTTTGGCAACAAGTACTAAGAGTACAGATTGGAAGAAACTTCCTATCTTGGAAGGCGTCCTTCAAAGATCCGTGTTGATACTTGTTAAATTGGCTAGAACTTAGCAGTACATTCTCTTTTGTTCATCTTTAAGAAACCATGAGGCCTTAACCTGATGATGATGTTGAATACATGCTTAATTTATTTAATTAAATCCGTGCAAGAATTAGACATAAATAATAAACAAAAAGATCTAAATCGTACTAAAAGATCTCTAACCAGATGCCTCTCAAGGACAACATCATAAGTGAGTTAAACACATAGTGGTCGAAGAGAGCATGATGTAAATTAAGCACGCAATCACTAATGATATAATAAATAAAATAATTCACACACATTTAATTAGTAATAAATAAAGTAGCTGGAAAATCAAGTCAAATAACTTCCAAAAATCATAGAAAATTATAAAATATTTTTTGTAACCTATGAAATTTTTTGAAGTTATTTTAGTCAAAATCTAAGTTAACCCCGATTGTGTTTATCAGCCTTGAGATTTTGTTAGCCTTATTTAAATTTACATTTAAAAGTACATAAACTCATAAACTAAGCTAAATAACTTGGAAATTTCATTTTGTACTTTGAGTCTTCGTGAATCTACCTTCTTGAGCTATCTCCAAATTCCATATGCTTCAAAATAACCTAGTGAACATGATCAATATTTGTTGTTTTATTGAATTTGTTTTAGAAACACCTGTCAAAATATTGGGACCATTGTATTTGTTATCATCAAATCACACTTTTGTTGTCTAATCTCATAGGAACAATGGATACCATTTCGTGCCCTTTAAACTTCTATATATTATGTCCTTGTGTAAGTTGTACATTTTATGAACAAAATTGAATGCTTTTATATAATAAATAGACCACCTCAAGCTTCTTGTTGAAATCAAATCCATTGTTCAACAACCACACACTTTGTCCTATTGATTAAGCAAATAAAAAATTGCATGTTTTGACACCATACTTGAGGTTTGAGTTGCTACAAAAATCAGGGCAAGGTTCAAGGTTATATTTGGTTGATGGAATTCCCTCTCATGCAAAGTCTAAGCAGTTGAGTAATGGTGATTCAGATATTATATTCAAGAGAGTGTCGTCTGGTTATGGTGGTTGGAAGGCCGTAATCAAGATATTACAATTGTGCGATAGCGGTCGAGTGATGGCAGTTCAACGGTGGTCCAATGACAGTGGTTGAATAACAACGATCCGATGGCAATGCCCTGATGGTGGTGGTTGAACGACAATGGTCCAACAGAGGTAAGTCAAAAGGCATTGGTTTGACGATGATAGTTGGACGATGGTGGTTAAACAACAATAGTCGTGTCGGCATTTAAACAATGTTGCTTGGGCTTGAGTGGGTGTGATGACGGTGGTATGGTTGTGATGGTATGACAACAATGATCGAGTAGCATTGGTCTAATTGTAATGGTCGGGCGTTGGCGATTCAATGCCAAAACTCTCCACTTTCAAGTCAAGGTCCAGCTTCAGCTCCTCTTCACATGAAGAATGTGTGTGTCTATTTATATTTATTTTGGTGTGATATTTTGATAAATTTAGTCTAAATCTTAAAACACTTCATCGAACAACTCATAGTTATTCCCTTAATCATAAATCAATATTTTAGCAATTAAGTACCTTAATGACCTCCGAATTAAATGATCTCATACTCATTGGATTTCTCTCATCAAGATGCTTTATTTGATTTAAGAATGCAAGATTTTGAGATCATTTAGTCCTCTAAGTCATGAAGTTTTCAACACATGTTATATGCTTGATTTGGCTCATTTGGAGTCATATTAGATCAATTTTTATGTCAATGAGTTCGACTAATTAAATCATTCAATTCGACTATAAATTTTTTTAGATCAAAATTCAAATGATCCTGAATATAATTTTAGAAGTTTCTAGCTAAAATATTGCCTTGAGATTATGCTTGATTAAGTAGATTGATGTCATGTGTTTGTGTGTGTGTGTTTAAGGAATTTTTTTCAGTAGCTTGTAGAATTTTGTGGACTTCAATAGATAGGGTTTCAGGTTCCTTTTAATAAACGTACTTGAAAGCTATTAGGGAGAGTTTAATTATTTTATTGATATTAAAAGATCATATAGTTGAGTGTCATAAGAATTAATTTGGTGGGAAAAATATGTGTGGAAGTTATGTTGAAGCTATTAAAAACGTGTATAAAGCAATGAATACTATTAGAATACTAAGAATTGTCCATTCACGTCAAGGTTGCATAAAAGGATCAATATTAAGTGTTTTTCTTATTGTATTTAATATGGAGATAGTACATTAGATAATTAAATTCAGGTGTCTTGGTTAAAGCTTTTAATGATTATCTAGTGTTGAAAGATGAGATATTATATGTGTGAAAAAATTAGAACATTGAAGGAAACTTTAAGAAGATAATGGACCTAGAATTATTATAATGGAGATTGATTACATGGTGTATAATTTTTGTGGATATGAAATTGGTAAAAGTCATAACTCAATGTTGTTTAAAGATTAAGATTGATATATCATCAAAAAATTATCCTGATCGGGCTTGAATCTCAAGGCAAAATAAAGTTGAAAACTTTTGAAATTAAATCTTGTACCATCCGAGAACTCTAATTTCAGCAAACTTATAGTCAATTGAACGTCTTGAAAATACGAACCCAACAACACTAAATTCAACTCAATTCGAGCCCAAATGGGTCAAAATTGAAGTCCCGAAGCGCATTTTGAAAGTTCAAATCATAAATTGGATGGTCAAACAATTTCTAAATGTAACATACTTATAGTCAAATCGAGCAGCTCGATGAAACGAATCCAATGAGCCTTAGATCGACAAATTTTGATATCATTAAGACATTCAAATGCCCAGTAAACGGTCCACGGTCAAGTGGATCTACATCGGCCGTCCATTCAAACCATTCCCAACTTATCCTTGATCTCTCTCCTATTTACTGGTCATGCAACTCTCATAAAACTATAAATAGACCCTTCATTCGTCATGGAGGGGGGACACAAGCAAGACGGAAGCAAGGAAGAGAGAGAAATTAGAGTCTAATTGCCACCAGACTCCTCGACCACCGTCGAACCACTAATAGTTGCCGGACTTTCACCCGGCTACTAACTGATGCCGGACTTTTGCCCGGCCACTAAATGACATTGGACTTCCACCTAGCTACCCACTGACGATGGACTTCCATCTAACCACCAACTAACGCTGGACTTTCACCCGCCACCGACTATCGTCGGACTTCCCCGTAATAACTGTCACCAAAAAGCTGTCTTTTGGACCATCGTCGCGCACCGACAAGGCGACAACAGTCCTTCCGACCTCCGTTATCAGACTACGGTCTGTCTGACCTCCATCGCCCGTCGATTATGGTCCTTTTGGCCTCCGTCGCTAGACAACAGTCTCTATGACCACCATCACCTGCCAACAATAGTCCCTTCCAATCTCCGCCATCAGACTATGGTCTTTGTGACTTTTGTCGCCCGCCGACTACAGTCCTTCAGACCTCTGTCGCCAGGCAACGATCTTTCTGACCACTGTCATTTGCCAATTACGATCCTTCCAACCTCCGAAGCTAGACTATGGTTTTTTCGACCTTTGTAGCCTGTCGACTATTGTCCTTCCAACCTCCATAGCCAAACAACGGTCTTTCTAACCAATTCTCGCTTGCCGACTACAGTCCTTTCGACCTCCGTCGCCAGACTACGGTCTTTCTGACCAATTCTCGCCTGCCGACTACGGTCCTTCCGGCCTTCATAGCCAAATAAAGGTCTTTATGACCACTGTCGCCTACTGACTACTGTCATTCTGACCTTCTTCGCTAGACTACGGTTTTTCTAACCAATGTCACCTTACGACTATGGTCATTACGACCTTCGTAGCCAGACTATGGTCTTTCTAACCACTGTCATGTGCCGACTACGATCCTTCTGACTTCCGTCGCCCGCTGAATATGGTCATTTTGACCTCCATTGTCTGCTAATGATCTTTCCAACCTCCGTCGTCCGCCACCGCCCCTTCCACCACTGTTATCCGAATACGGTTTTTCCGACCTCCATCGCCCGCCGACTACAGTCATTCTGACCACCGTCACTTGAATACAATCTTTCTGACATCTGTCGCCCGTCGACTATGGTCATGTTGACCAAACAAACAGGTCAATATTGATTCTTTCAATTTCTAAAATGTAATGCACTCTATATGATGTATATTTGCTACATCAAGCCAAGGCTTTCCCCCAAAGGAAGTGTCTCATTTGTAATTAACTGCAAACAATAGTGGATTCATTCAAACTAGGTCAGACCCCGTGGTTTTTCCCCCTTTTTAGGGGTTTCCACTTAAGAACTCTGGTGTCTCTTATGAACGTTATACCCTCTCTTTTATCTGATTGCATGTTGGATCTTCATACAAACTAAGACGTTAAACTTTATATTTCTATATTGCCGTGAATATTCCAGGATGCAACAAAGAAGATACCTTTTTTTTAATTAAGATAATACTTGCTATAGGTTTTAGTATCTGCTGTTGTATTCTACAAAAGAATGATGATAATCCTTTTAGGTTAAGTTGGCTAATACTAAAGAAGATAATGATCTCAGTTATTTTTTTTTTTGTTAAACTTCCATAATTCTTGGAGTTACTGCATCTCCTTTTGATTACTTTTTGCAACTTAGGTTGCTTGGATTCATTTTCTGAAAGCTGGTGTTAAAGAATCACTTGTTTTCCATTGATTTTTCTGGTGTTCCTGATAAGAATTTATTTTTTGTTATCGTAATATCTGTTGTCCTTTCATCTTTTCAAAGGAACGCATCAGACGGATGCAAAGAATATTCAATCGAGAGAGAAAATTATATAAGAGAAGCTATGAAAACTGGAGGGACTATGGTCCTGGTGCATATCAACATTTCCAACAAGATGATTGGTACTGGAATTCAGATGCATCTTATGGAGATCAAAGGACGAATTTCAGATCCTACCCTTGGGAAACTGAACATTATACCATGTCGCATCATTATTCTATCTTGGGTCTTGACAGGTATTCCTGTGCAACTTATCTACTTTTATTTCCATTTGTTTCAACGATTCAGTTCAAATACTCAAATGTTTATCCATGCTGGGAAAATGAATTATACTCACAGAAATAACTGAGAGTAACAAACTCGAGTAGTTTTTTCATCATTACTGCTGAATAAACATCCTCTCAAACATGTTGACATATAATTAACACATTCGGACTGTGAATTTTATGTGTAATCTTTGAACAGAACCCTATTGATGTTACGTCCACAATCAATTAGAAGTGCAGGTACTACAGTTGATATGGAATACGTGTAATGATAAATATTGTGAAAACAAATATTAAAGTTTCTTGTTCGTCTCATGGGCTAGGAATGAAGAGGTTTACGGTCATGTACAACGGGAACAAGTGTTGTAAGGCAATGGCTGATTATAGTTGTTGTGAATGTGCAACGCAAAGAATGCATTGGCAAGCTATGGTGCATAACTAGTTTTGAAATTCATGGAAGAAGGAAGTGCATTGGAATTAAGCATGGTTGAAAATCATTGTTGTTGGTCGCAAGCTTGGATGAGAAAACTTTGGGGTTGATGTTAGGAAGACCATCATTCATAAAATTTATATCAAAACTAAGTAAATGAATCAAATTTTGAGTTTTGCTGCTAACAGGGCATTCCCCATTCTCCTAGAAGGGGCATATTATTATCTAGCTTGATTTTAGTGAGAAGTAGATAAAGATTTAATTAGACATCACCCCTAAGCGATGTATCACAACTTAACATAATTAGGCAAAATTTGACTGGAATGACTCAACTCAAGTTTGATGAAAAGTATACTAATGTTAATTAGGTCTAAATTAAGTTTAGATTTGTTACATGGAGTTCGGATATTTTCAATGAGAAGAAGACATGATAGGTAAACATAATGTGTAGAAGAAAAATAACAATTGTTTGTTTACTAGAAACTAAATTGAAAATTATTTATGTTGGAAGGATTAATAATGAGAATGAGTGGACATATACTTTAAATAAACAATTTAGGTGAATGAAAATAGCAATATAGTGGTTGTTATCAAAGATACTAGAGGATATTATAAATTTTGTTTCTGTCTAACCCTCGAAGTGGGGTTGGTTGTTAGTTTAAAAAATCAATTACGAAAAGAGATGTATGAATTACCATAATGTAGACATAAGTAAGCAAGGATATTTGGTGAAGGTGACTTAAATGAACATGTAATTTAATAGTAATAGCTATGAGATGTTTCATGTTTGTGGGAAATGGGAGATAGAAATGCAATGAGAAAAGTTATATTTGATTTTTTTTTTTTGTTGCATATAATTGTGAAATAACAAATGTAAACTTTAAGAAAAGAAATTGTTGCTTAATTTTGTTTAAAAATGGAGCCACCAAATCATAAATACACTTATTATTTGGAATGAAAATCTTTTTGAAAAAATCAGAAGGTGATTTAGAAGAGCATGCAATTTAGAATATTAGTTATTGATGTATACCTTAAAAGGTTTTAATAGAATATTATGAAAAAATTAATTGCCTAGATAAGGTATTGAAATTTAAAAGATTAGATCGGTAATCTTCAAAAATAATTTGTTAAAAGAGACAAATTGTTTAGGTGATTCAAACTTGATGTGGATAAGATCACTAGCCCTATTTAGAAAATTGTTATAGAAATTTTAGGAGAGTCTAATAGTAGATCTCATGCTAATAAGGAGACATATTAGTGGAGTGAGGAAATAGAAAAAGGCTATTAAAGAAACAAAATGCATTTTTTAGTGACAAGAATTGAATGCTAGTGGAGTTTATAATGATTATAATAAAATTAGAATTCTTGTAAAGAGTCATAAATAAAATAAAAGCTATGCTTTTTATAATTTCTATGTGAGACAAGGTACTTATAAAAGTGAAAAATATATATAAAAATAATTATGATGTGATTGAAGGTCTAGAGACTATTACTAAACTAGATGCATTTAAACAAAAATAATATGATTTTAATAAAGGTAAAAATATTATTTTAAGAAATTATTAAATATGAATTTATAAAAAAATATTTTGGATGAGTATATTTATATTGTTATGATTTATATGTGAGGCAAGGTACTAAGAAAAGTGAAAATTAGATATAAAAATTATTGTGATAAGATAATAGGTCTGGAGACTACCATGAAAGTAGATGCATTATAAGCAAAAATAATATGATATTAATTAATGAAGAAAATATTACTTTGAGAAATTATTAAATATGAGTTTATAAAAAAAGTATTTTGGATGAGCATGATTTTGTTATTAAGAATGTTGCAAAAGATGTGCTTGGAGTGTCAAAGGGAAAATCTATTAATAGTAAAAATAGTTTATGGTGAAATCAAAATGTGCAATAAAAGATAAAAAATAAGAAGATTTGTTAAAAAAATTGGTTTAGCTATAAAAATTCTGATAATTGAGAAAAATATAAAGTGGCCCGTAAGGAGTAAGAAAATAATTTGCAATGCAATGATTTTAATTTTTAATGATTTGTATAATATTGTAGATACTAAGGATGTTAAAAGATATATGCATAGGTTAGTTAAACAAAGAGATAGGAGTAGTAAGGATTTTGTTCAAGTGAAGTGTATTAAGGATGAAGATGAAAAAATGCTTTAATTAGAAGAAGATATTCAACAAAGGTGGATTAGATGTTTTGCTAAACTTTTCGATGAAGATTATGAGAATGTGATTGACTTTAGTGACCTTAGCTCCCTAAATAAAAATAAAGATTTTTTGTTCTTATCGTTGGATTAGTATAATCAAAGTTAAAGAGGCTTTAAATAAAATGAAGTGTGGAAAAGCTGTTGGACTTGATGATATCCCAATATAGGTGTGAAAATGCTTAGGAGATGAAGGAATTTCTTGGCTTGCTGAACTTTTTAATATTATTATGAAGACTAAAAAGATGTTAGATGAGTGGAGAATGAGTGTGTTGATTCCTGTTTTTAAGAATAAATGTTTGCACAATATTGTTTGAATTATAGAGAAATTAAGTTGATGTGTCATACTTTAAAACTATGAGAGAGAGTTATGGTGCATAGGTTGCGGCGTGACACCAATGTTTCTCAAAATCAATTTGGATTCATGCCAGATAGGTCTATTATGGAAGCTTTACATTTATTGAGAGGTTTGATAGAGAAGTATAGAAAGAATATGGTTGATCTACATATGATTTTTATTAATTTAGAAAAAGCATATGATAAAGTTCCAAGAGAAGTGTTATGGAGAGTTCTACATAAGAAAGGGATTAATAAGGCTTATATTCAAGTCATTAAGGATATGTATGCACGAGCTGTTAATTGTGCTCAAACACAAGGTGGTTTGACCAAGTATTTTCCAATTTCATTTGGATTACATCAAGGATTAGCTTTAAGCCCATATCTTTTTGCTTTAGTCATGGTTGTTCTCACTAGACGTTTGCAAGAGGTTGTACCCTAGTGTATGTTTTTTGTTGATGATATTCTTCTTGTTGATAAGACTAGAGAGGGAGTTGAAGATAAACTTTAATTATGGAGGTCAACCTTAGAGTCTAAAGGCTTTCGTTTGAGTTGATCTAAAACTGAATATATAGAGTGTAATTTTAGTAATAAGAGATCTAATGGGGGGATTGTGACTTTTGGCGATCAAGTCATTAATAAGAGTACATGTTTTAGATAT